CTGAGGAGCTCTGGAGCTCCGGCTGAATAGAGTTGATACTGTGGTATGTATTGAGTGTGACTTGGCTCTCGGTTTACTTTTTCTATGAATACTGACTGCTGGCCTCAATTTACATGCAACCCCTGACACTGCAGCCTCCCACGCGCTGTCTGCCTCAACACAGAGAAAATGTTCTGTTTTAATTAATTACAATGTCAGCCTCACTCCGGAGGAAGGTTCTGCTTACCTCCACCAGCAGCAAGAAGAGGAGCGCCACCATATTTGTGGCTGACCTCCTGTTTTTGGAGCTTTGGATGCTGAGATCTAGCATTACATGCGAGCTCATGGCAATGATGCGAGCACAGACGACAGGAGAAGATAAGATGGGATAAAATGAGCCCTTTCTCTTCCAAACCATGGCAATTCAATATTATTGATCGCACAGAAAGCTGTAACCACCGTTCTATTCCTGCCTGTGAGTCATATGCATAGACTATGTGCATCTCACCCCACGTTAGGTCACGATATTTCCATCTCACTCCTTCTGACAGGTTGGTAAGTAAATAAATAAGTGAATAAATAAAGCTTTTGGACCTTGGGTAACACTTCGGTATTGAGGTCACTAGTAAAGCTCTATTTAGCTTTCTCAGACCTGTAGTTGTTTATTAACTGGCTGCTAATTACCACATTAGGAAGGGTAATTTAAGCATTTTCAGTGCACTTTTATTTTTGTGTATATAGTGCTGTAGTACTTGAGTCAAAACCACAAATTACTGGTCTCAGTCTTGTCTTGGAGTAAAGAGCACTCTTGCTTGAGACCAGTCAAACTGTTAAGATAAACGCATTTAAAACCCGTAGCAGCGACAGCATTAAGTGCAGCACATTCCTCTGAACTTAAGTTTTAAACTTCAAGTCTATTTTGTGCCACTTGCCTTTAGAATTGTGTAAAATTGACATATAACACAAATAAAATATCAATTCTTTCTTTTACAGTCCTCTACGATCTAAGTAATAACCAGGCAGGTGTGCAGTACAAACTCCAAAGTACTAGATAATTATTTTGGGTAATATGATGGTAAGTTCTGAGACAGTTTAACTAAGCTACATTGGAATGCCAAGCAAGTTTTAGATATTACATGTCTAAGTGTCTCCAAAGTATTGTGTAATTATTAATTGCAGTCTAACTAAATTAAACTGAAACGACTAACAGGTTCTAGATATTACCTGAGTAAGAATAATTATTAATTACAATCTAACTAAATTAAACTAAAATGACTAAAAGGTTCAAGATATTACCCAAGTAAGCATAATTACCAACTGCAGTCTAACTAAAACTGAAAATTAAAGGACACAATAAATTAGTAATTCGAGTAACAAGGTGGTGAATATAAACATACTCCCACTAAAGTTCACTGTAATGTTAGATGTTTAAGTAGGAACATAAATCAGAAACTCCTCCAACTAGCGAGTGAGTTATGTCATAAAATGATGACACAAAATACAGTTTTCTGAAGTAAACAGTGAAACCAAAGTAAGAGTCACTGTTTTCTTTCAGAGCCCAGATTCAGCTTCAGTTACAGGTTAGTGCTGGGCGATATGCCAATATATGTCATTATCATGATAAATTATGTCACAATATAATACAATATGCTTTTCTGAGCATATTGTGTTTATCGTCAGTGCTTGTAGACACTGACCAACTGCATGTTTCATTATGAAAGAGAGATGTTTTTAATGTAGCACTACTTGTTCTTTTTCTATGTTCCAACTGATCAAATGTCTGAAAAAAAAAATAGTGTCATATCATGTATCATGAAAAATTCTTGGAGTATTGCAATAGTATATTTTTGCCATATCACCCTGCCATTACAGGTAATAAACAGGTACACGCTATATAATATGACTACCCAGTACATTTTTCCCCAAAACAGTTACACAACACCACACACTTACCAAGTTAATATCTAGAACCTGTTAGCCTTCCAGTGCAATTTACTTAGACTGCCTTGGGATATACCACTGAATAATTATACAGCACTTTAAAGTTTGTACCTCACACTTACACAGTTGATACTAGCATGCAAGGTGCTAATTAATCTCTTGGACCCCCTGAATGTCTCAAAGTTAAAATTCTGGGGGTTTCTGAAAATAACCTTATAATGACATTATGGTGTCAGAAAATAGACGCTCAAATCCAGATTCAGTGAAGCTCATTGTTTATCTGCTTCCCCCACAATCAGTCTTTGGTGTTCTTAACTAACTAGAGCTGCAGCACTGCTCTGCCTCAGGGTGGCGCTGTAGCAGACTGTTGGTCCTTCATAGCCTAGAAACTGTAACTCTGCCCGGATTCCTCTGAAAAACTTTACAATGAGCTGCAGCAGATCTGTAAATCTGAAAACTCGCCCAGTTTCCCAAGAGTTTGGAGTGAAGAGTGACTGTTCCTCATTTCTCACACTGAAGACAGAAGAGGAGACGAGGAAGATCTCAGTTACTGTGAGGAAGAGCGCAGAACCGCACTAGAACAGAGACTCTACAGAAGAGGAGACGAGGAAGATCTCAGTTACTGTGAGGAAGAGCGCAGAACCGCACTAGAACAGAGACTCTACAGAAGAGGAGACGAGGAAGATCTCAGTTACTGTGAGGAAGAGCGCAGAACCGCACTAGAACAGAGACTCTACAGAAGAGGAGACGAGGAAGATCTCAGTTACTGTGAGGAAGAGCGCAGAACCGCACTAGAACAGAGACTTTACAGATGAAATTTTTTTGCTGCCAATGAAGCAAAATGGTGAGTGACTGAGCAGCCAGACAACACGGGACCCTCGAATACCAGGGAGCATTTCGTACACTGTTTGTTTTCACTCAAAATGCTTAATTCACTCTAGTTATTGCTTAACAATGTAGTATTGAGAAGCCAGTTAAGAGACACTTGTCTTGATAAGGCGTAATAAGGGCTTTACAACGGCATTACAACACCAACCTATACTGAAGTATCACCAACCTTCCCATTTCCTCATTCCTTAGCAGCTGCAAGGCTACTTATCCAATTAATCAATAAAATGACCACTGTAGTGTTGGCCTCCTCCCTCCATCCTCCTAGCAGTGTGACTCAGATTGGTATAGTGGGATGACAGCAGGTGTTATGTGGGTGAAATGTTCAGACCAGTAGAGCTCAAAGTGCTGCATGAATAGACTCAGAAAAACAACCTTTCAGCCCAATATGGGGCTTTTTTCTATGAAACCAGTTTGATAAGTGATGTACGTGTATCTAGAACGCGTGCTGGGTGGTGGCGAGACCATGAGAGGAACCGGTGAGTTTCTTTTTTTTTCAGTCAGAATGAGTATGGGCTGGAGTGAGGGAATGAGGGCAGAGTGAGAGAGTGGGTGGGGTGGGGTAGGTGGAGTGGAGTTAGGGGGCTGGGGAGGTGGGTTAATGGAGTGGGGCAGTTGGTGAAAGACAGTGATGCAATGAAGGGAAGCCAGTGTGCATGTTTCACCAAAAGACACCAAAGCTGGATGTGTCAGAAAAGCATTGAGAACTGCTAAGCTAACTGCTAACACCCACCCGCCCAAACCTAGCGTGTCCATATATCATGTTTAAGACCATTTTTATGTTTACCTAATATGTAAAAAAGACTAATGTCACTGCATTTGCATACTAAGCTGCCTCTGCAAATAATGGGTAGAACATGGGTTCTCAGTCCTGGTCCTGGAGAACCCCAGGGCTGCACATTTTGACACTTCACATGCATAACATGCCTGAGTCATTGACCTAATAGATCTCTGATGTCATGCTGTAGTTCACCATTAGCACAGTAGCCTCGGTTCAAAGCCATGAATCTCTCATTTATATTTACAGCTTCATGCATCACTTAAAACATATTGAAAACAGTTATTCGAAAATATTAAACAGCAGTATACATGTTTAATGTAACTACTATAATGTTTCATTACTATAATGTTTAATTGCTACAAGGTTTAATTATCATTTTAAAGGGGAATTCCACTTTTTTGTCAACATTTTTTGCATAATTCCATTGTTGCAATATATAAGAAGCCAATCAGAGTGGTTTGATGTAAAATGGCTCGTTGTAGAGAAAGTTTGAGATTCAAGTTTCTTTACAGTGGTGGTGATAGGAACCAGGGGTCATCATGGATAGTCATTTTATTTACTATCCAAAAACACCAGTGAACCTACACGAGTCTTCTGAGTTTTATGTGGAATGTGCCTCACAACACCTTCTGTTTATCCCTCCACCATGAATGGATTCAAATAAGTGGATTAACAAGATAGTTTAGGCCAAAACTCAGGCAGTGAATTCATAACCATTTCATGCAGTAACTTTCTGTGAGGGAGCTTTTAGAGGTGGATGTCTGGTTCCTATCACCACCACTGTGAACAGTTCTGACTCAGTAAGTGTCTCTAGAACGGAGCGTTTCACACCAAACCACTCTGAACGACTCTTACACTGCAAAAAATGACATCTTAGCAATTAAAATGATATTAAATCTAGTTGATTTATTACTCAAGTTGAGCTAATTATGACATTTAACCTATCACAAGACACTTTTACTTACTTTATTTTATCAAGCAAACTGATTGGATAATTTTGCTTTATCCAAGCTTATTTCCCCAAAAAAAAGCAAAATTATCTGCCAATATAGTGAAATAAATGTACTTAAAACGCACAACTACTTAAAAATGTCTGAAAACTGTTTTTCATCTTAATTATACATTAATTATGTAGAAATTTAAAAATTTTTGAAAATTGGTGGAGTTCCCCTTTAAGACTGCCCTCAAAATTCAGAGGATCCAGTATTATTTGGATATAATATGTATGCAAACACTGTGTTTATCACAGCGTCTAATGGGTGCAGTTTTAGAAAATACCATTATTTTTAACAGAGAGACGAACAGCTTAGTTCCTTATTCTCTAGAACCAGGACTGAGAAGCTCTGCTGTAGAACATCAGTGGTACAGCTGTAGGTTCAGAGGAACACAGGTGCGTGTATGGATTTGGTACCTGCGTTTGAAGGTGAGGACCACACCCAGGAGGATGATGATGAACATGAGGATGCCAGCAATGACCCCGGCCATCTTTACCGTGCTGTCCACCTGCTTCTCAGGTTCCACAGCATTGGAGTTCTGGGTGGACGCACCTGCAAGAGCAAATGATACATCACAGAAGAGAGAGAGAGAGAGAGAGAGAGAGAGAGAGAGAGAGAGAGAGAGAGAGAGAGAGAGAGGCGTTTAACTGGAACAGGAGCTGCCCAGAAAACCGCACACACAAACACAAGCATGCATCCATTCCAGCTTCACCTACTTCACTGTGCCAAAGTCAGAGACCACCTTGGCTTATTTAATTTCCAGTCTGAATGACCATCAGTGCAAGTTATTCATTTTTCAGGAGATAACTCTACTTGTGTAAGGAAGGAGAAAGTCAAAGGGGAAAAAACAGAGGTTTCCAAAACTGATTAAAAGCTGCAGAGAAAGTGTGTCTCCTAACAACCACCTGGAAGAGCTGGTCGACCCCAAAACTGCCCCCATCAGATAAACAGCACTTTTCTCTCAGCTTTCATCTCTGAGAGAGAGGAGAAAATCAAGCTGCTTCAGATCTGAAAACATCCACAGGTGTTTCTGTCCATCCTTCCACTGTGAGAAGACGACTCAGCGCTGTGGGTCTGAAAGGATGTGTAGCTGATCAAGAAGAACCTCACTGAGAAAAGGAGACGGACACATCAAACAAAGAAGCTGAACGATGGACTGACCACCCCAGAGTCCAGACCTCAACACCACTGAATGTGTTTGATTACTTCAGAAAATGATCAACCAGCTTCTAAGACTGAACTTTGGAGGTGTGTCTGCAGATTCTTTGAGGAGCTGAAAGTGAGTCTCCTGAACAGAATGGAAGCTGGAATAAAGGGAGAGAGTGACTCACTGAGACTGAACAGCTGAGAGTAGATTTAGCTGCTGAGGCTTCTGTGGGATTTTCTGTTCAATTTTCACTTTTTAATTTCACTGAAAAATGAATAACTTGAACTTAAAGTTTGCTTTGACTTGTAATGAAATAAATGAAGGTCTCTGACTTCTGCACAGTGCTGTGTAACCAAACTCCAAAGACATACATGAACTTCAATCAGACATAACCATCCACAGACATACAGAAGTGCACACAGGACTGCGGTCATTACTGTGTAGTGGGTCATGGCTAAGGACGTGTGATTAAATGTACGATGACGACCACCATGCAGAGGGAAACACGTACAATCCAACAAGAACTTCCAGGAACATTACAGCTTTTCAGATGAAACTGGAACTGTATGTAAGTGAGAATATTAGTGAGGTAAAAGCTGAAGAGAAGGATGAGGGTGAAAGAGTCATGCGGGGTAGATTGTCACAAATAGTATGTGTGTATATCATCATTATATTTACAATATCTGCAATATTTCTAAGGGTCACTCCAGCCTAAAGTTAATATGTTTTATATAATATTGTGTTTACTGCGATTAAAGGAAACACAGCTAATGCACAATTTGTTGTGTTTTGCACTCTTTCGCACCCAAGCTCACACTCTCTAGCTCTTCCTGTTGTATAGGCATAAACCCAGAGCAAAGCAGCAAACCCCACCTTCACAATAAGAGTCCTTATAGAACAAAACTAGTGAATAACTTTAGTAGAACTAACACTCTAACATTAACCTGATAAACTTTATGGGCATGCTACAATATATAATATTTGTCATGTCATGTAATTTTCAAGCAATAGAACACAGAGGGAGTGTGTTATCGCAAAATAACATCACGGCTGTGATTTGGTCGCCGTGGATCATCACAGCCGTGATGTTATTGGCGATAACACACTCCTCGAGTGTTCTATTGCTTTAATACAACAGTTAAATAAATAAAGTAATAAATTAATAAACTGGGCCGTGAACGCGGCGTTTAATATGTTTTAATGTTCGCAGTTCCTTCACCAAATTATAGTTCCTTAACGAGCAGCTTCTTGCTACGTCAGAGTAACGAGCTCCGCCCACTCGCTGCACAGCCGGCAGTTCATTCTCCAGCTCCACACAGACCAACTGACAGTTTGGGAATTTAGTGTCGTCTCATCTTCAGAGTCAGACCAAATCGGCTGTCGGTCAAACGTGATCTTAAAAGTGTCCATTTTCTGTTTGTGGCAAAGTAAGAAGTAAAAACGTTCGTATGTCTTGAGCGTCTCCTACAGCGGTCAAAGTCGTTGCTTAGCAACGGCGTCTCAGTGGAGTGATACAGTGTTTGTGAAAAAACCTGTGATGTTTTGGCAGAATAATAGCACGGTTAGAACGCTTCTCAACCAATCAGCTTGCATGGCCGGAACTAACTGTTGTATAATTGTAGATATACAAAATAAAGCCTTCTTTCACTTCCTACTTTAAGAACAGAACTTTTTCTGTCAAATTAGGAAATTTCTCATCACCATCTGTGGCCCTCAACAGTGGCGTTCCTCAAGGCTCAATTTTAGGTCCTCTTTAATTTTCCCTGTATATGCCTCTCCTGGGCTCCGTCTTTCATAAAAAAACATAACATCTTAGCATTGTTATGCTGACGATACAGTTTTATTGACTTCTGAAGCTTGTGGGCTACTCTTAGGAGACACTTGAAATGCTATGAAGATATACAGAACTGGATGGAACAATTTTCTTCAACTGAATGGTAGTAAGAAGTTTCTTGGACTCTTCCCTGAATTTTGACAAATAAATGCTGTTGTGAAGGCCAGCTTCCTTCAACTTTAAACCACTGCCAAGTTAAAACCAGCTCTCTCACTTTGTGTTCTGCTGTAACTCCCTTTATATGCAGGTTTTGCAATTAAATTTATCTTGGTTGCAGTTTCTGCAAACTCTAGCTGCCAAGTTCCTGACTGGAAATAAAAAGAGAGATCATATCTCTCCGGGTCTTGTTGCTCCACTGGTTACTGATGAAGTTCAGAGTACACAGGGAGCTTCTTCTGAGTGTCTTCAATGCTTCACAAGCACGCACACCTAATATGACTGACCTCATATTATTAGTTTATTATCTGACTTCCCTGGTTAAAAGGAAATGGAGATTGTGCCTTTTCCATGGATGCTACTAAACTGTGGGATAGTCTCCCACTTTTCATTAGGTCTTCCTAACACGTCTTTGAGTACAACTGAAACGTCTTCATGCACAAAAAGAACTCCTCCCAGTACAACTGAAACTCCTCCTAGTACAACCAGAACTCCTCCCGGTACAACCAAAACCCCTCCCAGTACAACTGAAACTCCTCCTAGTACAACCAGATCTCTTCCCAGTACAACAGAAACTCCTCCCAGTACAACCAAAACCCCTCCCAGTACAACTGAAACACCTCCCAGTACAACTGAAACCCCTCCCAGTACAACTGAAACTCCTCCCAGTACAACTGAAATGTCTTCCTGTACAACCAGAACTCCTCCCAGTACAACCAGAACTCTTCCCAGTACAACCAAAACCCCTCCCAGTACAACTGAAACTCCTCCTAGTACAACCAGATCTCTTCCCAGTACAACCAAAACCCCTCCCAGTACAACTGAAACTCCTCACAGTACAACTGAAACTCCTCCCAGTACAACTGAAATGTCTTCCTGTACAACTGAAATTCCTCCCAGTACAACTGAAACGTCTTCCTGTACAACTGAAACTCCTCCTCGTACAACTAGAACTCTTCCCAGTACAACCAAAACCCCTCCCAGTACAACTGAAACTCCTCCTAGTACAACCAGAACTCTTCCCAGTACAACCAAAACCCCTCCCAGTACAACTGAAACTCCTCCCAGTACAACTGAAACGTCTTCCTGTACAACTGAAACTCCTCCTCGTACAACTAGAACTCTTCCCAGTACAACCAAAACCCCTCCCAGTACAACTGAAACTCCTCCCAGTACAACCAGAACTCTTCTCAGTACAACAAAACCCCTCCCAGTACAACTGAAACTCATCCCAGTACAACTGAAACTCCTCCCAGTACAACTACATCTCCTCCCAGTACAACCAGAGCTCCTCCCAGTACAACCAAAACCCCTCCCAGTACAACTGAAACTCCTCCCAGTACAATTGACACGTCTTCCTGCACAAAAAGAACTCCTCCCAGTACAACCAGAACTCCTCCCAGTACAACTGAAACTCCTCCCAGTGCAACCAAAACCCCTCCCAGTACAACTGAAACTCCTCCCAGTACAACCAGATCTCTTCCCAGTACAACAGAAACTCCTCCCAGTACAACCAAAACCCCTCCCAGTACAACTGAAACTCCTCCCAGTACAACTGAAACTCCTACTAGTACAACCAGATCTCTTCCCAGTACAACCAAAACCCCTCCCAGTACAACTGAAACTCCTCACAGTACAACTGAAACTCCTCCCAGTACAACTGAAATGTCTTCCTGTACAACTGAAACTCCTCCTTGTACAACTAGAACTCTTCCCAGTACAACCAAAACCCCTCCCAGTACAACTGAAACTCCTCCTCGTACAACTGAAATATCTTCCTGTACAACTGAAACGTCTTCCTGTACAACTGAAACTCCTCCTCGTACAACTAGAACTCTTCCCAGTACAACCAAAACCCCTCCCAGTACAACTAAAACTCCTCCTAGTACAACCAGAACTCTTCCCAGTACAACAAAACCCCTCCCAGTACAACTGAAACTCATCCCAGTACAACTGAAACTCCTCCCAGTACAACTACATTTCCTCCCAGTACAACTGAAACGTCTTCCTGTACAACCAGAACTCCTCCCGGTACAATCAAAAAGCCCTCCCAGTACAACTGAAACACCTTCCAGTACATAACTCCCCCCCATGCAGTACATCACGTGATCCATGTCTGTAAGGAAGATAATCATGGGGGACTCACATTGTTGGGGACGAACGAAATGCTTAATAGCGACTTGGACAAACACTACAGTGCAGAACAAACTGCAGATGAAGAGGCTGAACGGATGAACAGTTGGTGACTGGCTGCTGCATAACGGGCAGGTTTTGCGTATCCGTTCCGTGTATCAGGATACAATTCTAGATGCATGAAGTGACCAGGTGTGTAAACGGGGTCTTTTTTTTAGCCTGAGAAGAGAAGCCAAACTGATGTAAGGTATCTAGACCTTGCTAACTTTAGCTTTTAGCTGG